CCCCCCCCCCAAAAAAAAGAGAACCATACACATTTCCTATTCTAGATAGAATTTGGTGTGGCTGCTGGTAGGTTATCTAGGTATTCTTAGGGCATTCTCTCCAAAATGCTGTAGGAATCTACTTCCTACTCATCCCATTGTTATCTTTGAAACCATCACTGTATTGTTGCTTGCCAGAACTGCTATACTTCCCAAACTATTGCCCAGCTTCTAGAATCTAATAGGATCAAAAAAAAATACAAAATAACTGCACCAACTAACCACAAATTAGACATCACTTTTCTGTTTAGAATACTGAGGATTCTAGACTATTTACCATGTGTATTGTTTTCTCTTTTTTTTGGGGGGGGAGGGGGCAGTCCTGAGGATTGAACTCAGGGCCCTAGGCACTGTCCCTGGGCTTCTTTTGCTTAAGGGTAGCACTCGACCACATGAGCCACAGTGCTCATGTGCCACTTCCAGCTTTTTCTGTTTATTTGGTACTGAGGAATTAAATCCAGGGCTCCATGCGGCAAGCACTCTACCACTAAGCCACACTCCCAGCTCAGAGTGTGTATTCTTTCTGACACAGCTCTAATATTAAGGACTAGCAAATGACAGCTTGCAGCCATCTGTCTCTGTTAACACAGTCACATGCTGCCTTTTGCATTGCAATGGAAGAGTTAAGTAGTTCTAAAAGAGATCACATGGAATGCCAAGCCTATTTACTACCTGGTTTCTTAAGAGTTTAACTCCTCTCTCTGACCTGACCCCTAGATCTCTTGGCTTACTGGATCACTCACCCCTTTACTAGCTAAGTTTCAAGTCAGCTCTTTCTGCTTCAGTCTATTCTTGAAGTAACTGCCATACTGTGACTGTTCTACTGAGGTCTCAAGCCTCAAAGGTTCTTCCTGACCAATCATTCTTGCACCGCCCTTTCACAGTAACACGCCGCCCCCATTCTAGAGCTTGAACCCAGGGAGTATCTGATGGAATAGTGGCATATTTGGGGCACCTTTGGAGCCACTGGGCTGCTGGAAAGTAGGCGACATAAAGACATATATATATATATATATATATATATAATTTTTTTTTTTCTTCTGTGGATGCCTCTTAGCACTACTTGGCCTTCAAAGCATTTGCTTCAGCAGGGGCAGAAACTTCTTGGTTGGCTTTCTAGGCCATTCTTGTAAGAGAACAAATTAACATGCTATTGACTATTGAAATTATGCACAAGCTTAGTTGTCTCCTTGACTAGACCATAAGCTCCATGACTTTTGTCTCCCCTAACACCTTTTAAATCGATGCACAAGTTCCACATCAAAATAATGCCTGACGTTTCTTTGCTTTGGAGGTACTGGGGTTTTGAACTCAGGTCCTTGTGCTTGGTAGGACAGGTTCTCTTTGGCTGAGGCGCCTCTTCCGACGACTTTTGGGAGAGCAAAAACGACTTGCTATGTCCTGCTGAAGTACATGCCTTGACTGCCAGCAACCTATTTTGGGCTTGCTGTTGGAGCTGGGGTGACAGGTGTCATTTCTTCTACTAAGAAATGGGTCTTAAGAACTCTTCTGCCCAGGGTGGTCCTGAGCCATGATCCCCTCTATCTCAGCCTTCCAAGTAGCTAAGATTACAGGCAACCTGGTCTGATGGTTTTTGAATGAAAAAGTACAATTAGGAGTTGCTGAATGAATGAGGCTAGTCAGGAACATCACTACTGGAGTTCAGGCCAGTTTTCAAAGGTCAAATGATTTCAAATGTTGGACTTGTCTGAATGGTGACTTAATCAAAAGGTGAGGGCGAAGGAGGACTGATCCATATTGGTGATCTCACTACGTATATTCTCTTGAAGGTAGGTCTACCTTACCATTGGTCAGGTAAGGATAGTATTAGGAAAATCAAACAAGGTTAAGGCCACAAAGTGAACAAAGAAGTCCTCAACTTTATGATTATTATGGTTAAGAATTTTATTATCAAAATTATTACATCTCTTGTGAAAGTTCAAATGTTACAGCAAGGTGTAAACACTCCACTTGAGAAAGAAGTGATACTTCTTTCCTTCCAAGAGTTCCCCTTCCCCCCGCCCCCACCCCCCCCAGAGGTCTGGTCTTGACAGCACCCTGCCCACACAGAGTGGCTGGGGTCTCTGCACGTGCCAGGCAGGGTGAGGGCCGCCTGCCCGCTGGCCTCTCCCCTTGGCCAACAGCCAAGAGGAGAATGCAAACCCCAGCCCAAATGGAGAGACATTTACATACGTTTTATATAATATACAAAGAAACCGGCATCCCAGGCAACATGATTTCCACTCCCAACGCTCTCCCAGACTGATGGGTTTGTGGGGGAAACAAAAAGAAAGGTACTCTGCTGAGGTCTCAGCATAAAATAATAAAAATCTCCCCTCATTTGAGCAAACACCTGATTTCAATTTTGAAAAGTGAAATTTTGTAACAGTCACACACAAAGAGAGAAGGCTGTGCATATGATCGTTGTAGGACAGCATAGAAAAGGGGATGCAAGAGGTGGGGTAAAAGGAGAACACAAATGAGAAAGTAGAAGGGAGACTCACAGTATTATCTTGTCCAAAAGAAAAGAAGTAAGGTCCACTGCAGCACCAGGGATTACACCTGTCATATATTCACTACCCTACCATGGTTATAACTGAATACAAAATTAGATAAATAAAAACACGCTGGATATTACAGTAAACAAGGGAAAGAAAGAAGCTGGCAACCATATGGAATTTAAAAAGATTGTGTACCCCACCTGGGCTGGCTCCAGGGCTCCTCCAGGGGTGTACAACAGGCACAATGCACTGATGGGGAGAAGCCAGTCTGTTCTCATCTCTCATCCAGAGCAGTGTTAGGGGTATGGGTGGGGCTGGGTACCTCTCACCGGCCCACTCGCACAGAAGCATCCCCCCAAAGAAACGTGGGGCAGGCCCACACACAATCACAGTCCTGTCGGTGCCACTCTATAAACCTATATTCCCACTCTTACCCTGCAGCCACGAGTGCACGCTCCCGATCAGGGAGGCAGTCCTACTCATGAGATCGTCAAGTCCTGATTAGTTGGGAGTAAAAAAATAAAACTTCAAAGTATTCCCAGACCACTCCGACCTCTCTAATTCAATCTTCTCTCCCAAGCTGCTAAGTAGGAACCCAATGAACGCAATGGGACCACCTTGTTTCTCATTTCACTTTTCTCTACTTACTTCATGGGTTATTAAGCTCTGAAATGGCTTGAGAAGGAGGACTTGGATGATAACAGCTGGGCCTCAATCTACTCAATCTGCTCCCAGATAATCAAGAACTGACCATGAGATCTTCCGAGAGCCAAGCACCCCTCAATCAGAGCAAGCTCCAAGCTTTACTTTCCATGCCTCTTCCCTGGTGATTTAATGACAAAGGTAGGGAGTGCTCTTGCCGGACACACCTTGGACACGCATTTGCTTCTGGAATGGTCGTCTTACGGTGACATTTGTATACCTACCTTTTTTTCTCTCAAGTGCATAAAACCTTAACACTACGCAAATGGCTTGGGGCTTTGAGATTGGCTCTTTTCAATTTTTTTTTCTTTTGAAAGGAAAACTTTTTTTTCTTATTATTTATTTAAAAAGATGTCCTCACTGCACAAGTGACTACGGGCTACAGGCAAGGATGGGAGACAGAGGCTCAACACAACTCATTGCACTTAGAACCGTTACTAACCGGAACACCATTTGCTTGTCAACAATGTACCCTTAACAGCAGGGAGAAACTTCTTTATAGTCTCTGCTTCAGACAAGATTTACATCGTTCCCCAAGGCCAGAGGCCAGCCACGACCACAAGTCTTGTTTCTTGCAGACCAGACCCAATCCTCTGGCATCTTGCAACCCCCTTCACCAGCAATATGCTCGGCCTAGGTTCCAGAGGCAGCTGGAAGGAAGCAGCTATGGGCTTGTTCAGTTCTGTTTGCCCATATCCAGAAGCCCTAGGAAAGTCCTGTCTGAGTCTTGACTCCTGACCCTTGCAGTGGCTGGAGTCGGTACTGGTGCACACTCCCACTCCCACGGTGTGGGTAGTGCTGTGAATTGGAAACCGCAGATACCCTGGAGGCCTGGTAGGCAGCTGACTGCCCAGCGCTGGGCAGACTGATAGTCCGTAAGTCAGATGGCAATGACGACCTAGAGTTCTGAGGAAAGGAGGTGGAACTCAGAGTTCCTGTGCTGGACTGAGAAACTGAGTCTGAGGTTGGTGAGTCTGAGGGGCCCTGTAGGGCAGGGCTAGCAGCACTAGAAGGACAGCTCCTCCTTGGAAGATTGCTGCCAGTGCTGTTTCCAGAATGTGGCTGGCTGCTATAATACCCTGGTGTCCCCGGGAGGGGAGCCATGGAGTCTGTAGACACAGGGTGGGCTGGGCTGGGGTAAGAGGTGGAAGAGAGGGATGATTCTGAAGAGCCTTGTGAGGGGGGATTCCCAGGTCTCAGTGCAGTAGTTCGATAACTGTATCCTGGAGATTGGGTGGGGTGTCCTCTGAAGGGGGAGGAGCTCTGTTGAAGGAGGCTTTGTGATTCTGTCCGTGGACTATCACACTGCAGGAGCTAGAAAGAGTTGGGAGGAAAGCACAAGCTGATGAAAAGGTCTCCAACAGCTTGCAAGTCTTTACATCCCATTTTCTTTCTTCTGTATTTTCTTTTCTTTTTAAAGGAATACTGGGGCAGTGAAATGGTTATTCGTGATTTACTTCTTTCTTTCTTTTTTGGGTACGGTCATGGGGCCTGAACTCTGGGCCTGGGCGCTGTCCCTCAGCTCTTCAGCTCAAGGTGAGCGCTCTACCACTTGAGCCACAGCGCCACTTCCGGCTTTTTTCTTTTTTGCTTATGTGGTGCTGAGGAATCGAACCCAGGGCCTCAGGCATGCAAGGCAAGCACTCTACCATCGAGCCACCTTCCCAGCCCCGTGATTTATTTTTCTTTCTTTTTTTTTTTTTTGTCGTCGTGGGGCTTGAACTCTGGGCCTGGGCGCTGTCCCTCAGCTCTTCAGCTCAAGGCGAGCGCTCTACCACTTGAGCTACAGCGCCACTTCCCGTTTTCTGGTGGTTTATTGGAGATAGGAGTCTCACGGTCTCTCCTGCCCGGGCTGGCTTTGAACCTTGATCCTCAGATCTCAGCCTCCTGAGTAGCTAGGATTACAGGCGTGAGCCACCAGCACCCGGCTGCTGTGATTTATTTTTCTAGTATGATATATCTTAGAGTGACCAGCTGAAGACTTGAATTCCAAGTCTTCTCAAACTGTGGGTAATGCCAGCATCTCAAATGCACATGATGAGTAGGATGACCAAACATTAGACCTTAGGATAAATTCCTATGGTTAAAAGCATCCTCGACTCACCTGGTAGCTGTATCTGGAAGGGCTGTAAACAGTGGCTCCTTTTGAGAGCGCTGAGCTCAATGTTTCTGAGCCTTCTCCATCTGCAGGGTCTAGAAGGTATTATAAAATTAATCTGGTTTCTCAGAACAAGAAACAGCCCTTGTTCATTCCAATGACCAATGCCATCACCAACCCATGCTGCTTTCCTTGTGACAAACTGAGCGAATGCAGCATGCCACGAGGGTAAAAGGAGTGGTTAAAAATGCACTATGTTTTAAATGCCTGATCTCATTTTCCTTTCCTTCTTTCTCTTCATCCTTCATCGAGGTGGAGCTCCAGGACTTTGGACAGATGAGTGCTATAGAAAGGTATCCCTTGGGAAAAAAGAGCAGACAGAGAGCAAGCATTGCTGTATCTTGTTTTGTGGCCTCACAGAACAACACTGAGCTGGAATCAGCATACAGCAAAGCTCAAGTGCATCCGAATGGACTCACCTTATCTCAACATTTGATGTGAGTTATGTAGACCCTAGCTCATGTGACCCAAACCTGCTTGTCAGAAGGCCATGGGCTCACCTGAATCTTTCTCTGTAATGATGTTACTCTCCCACGTGGGAGAAGGCTCTCCCTTCTGGGCCACTCTCACACTGCTTCGGAGGACCTTAGGGATACTTCCTCCTTCTCGGAGTCGTTCTACTGATGTGGGAACCATCCTGCAAAGGTACCAGGTTACAAGTTGAAACCACAGGACTGATGAGCCAAGAGTCTGAAACAAAGGAGGACTTGACAAAGATTATACAGTATATTCTCTTAAGACACCCTCAAATATTATTTTCTTCAGGACCTTTAGAGCAAGGCATTGTTGCCAAGCCCCGGTGCTTACATTGCAACCTTAGCTATTCAGGAGGCCGAGACTTGAGGATCATGGTTGAAAGGCCACCCAGACAGAAAAATCTGAGGATCTTATCCTCAATTAACTACAAAGAAAACTGGAAGTGTGGTTGTGGCACAAGTGGTAGAATGCTAGCCTTGAGCACAAAAGCTCAGGGACAAGTACCCAAACTTTGATTTCAAGCCCTAGACTGACACCCACACAAAAAGATGTTAGTTTTGGGCTAGAAATGTAGCTAGCTTAAGTGTGAGGGTGCTTGCCTAGCTCCTCATCCTGAGTTAAAACTCCAGCCCTTTCCTCTTCAAAGTTAATTTTTTTTGGGGTCCAGTCGTGGGGCCTGAACTCTGGGCCTGGGCGCTGTCCCTCAGCTCTTCAGCTCAAGGCTAGCGCTCTACCACTTGAGCCACAGCACCACTTCCGGCTGAGGAATCGAACCCAGGGCCTCAGGCATGCAAGGCAAGTGCTCTACCACTGAGCCACCTTCCCAGCCCCGAAGTTAATTTTTTGTGTGTGTGTGCTAGTACTGGGGCTTGATCTCAGGATCACGTGCTTTCATTTACCTTTTTTGCTCAAGGCTAACTTTACTTTCCACGTTGAAATGCTAAATCTTGTCTGTGAAATAATGTGCCTGATACCTAAGCAGCAGCTTGATAAATGTTTCCTAGTGAATATAATTTGAGCCCAGTTCATTCTTTCCAAGACTTTTTTTTAGCTCAAGATCACTGTACTTCTGATTCTTTCTGTGTTTTACTCATTTGATATTCAGAACTTGCCACTATTATTTACGGCCTCTCCTAAATCAGAGCAAATCCTTTAAGATTGTCTTAACTCTGTTCATGCTTGCTGCATGGAACAGCGAGCTAATGTTGCTAATTCAAATAAAACTTGGTTAGGCTTCTGATGAGGTAGTTTTAGGCAGGCACTCTACCACTGAGCCATGCCTCTAGCCCAGAGAGGCAGGTTCAGTGTCCACCAAATATAATAGCCCTTGAGCAGCTACAACTATGTTGTCTGAACTGCAAGCTTGCTGGTAATCCTCTGCTTCTATAAGATTGGAGGATGTGGCTGATGCTATTAAATCAGTTGAGGACAGCCTACACTGGTGCCTAGCTCTCTCAGGCTAGTTCTAATACATCACAGATGAAGTGGTGCACCAACTTAGGTATGTATTTCCTTCTTGAACTTAATATAAACGTACCATCTACTGCTGATATTCTCTTGAGGTCTGCAGTGAGATGAAGTGCCCCTGGAATCTGATGGGCTTACTGCCTCCGAATGTGACATAGAGGAATGAGATGGGGAGAACTTTCTGTGAGGGGAGGATGGGACTCGAGTTGAAGATCCCTGAACACCATGGGCACCAGTGTCAGAAACAGAGTTACTGCTGCCCTGCCCAGCTCCTGCGGCCTTGCTTTTGCTCTGTGCCGAGTCGTTGACCCCACCAGAATTCTCCTTGGCTTCTTGTTTCCGTTTTCGGTACTCCAGCAGGGATACCTAGAAAGGGAAAGAAACAGTACTCCAGTTGGAGAGCATCAGAGGGTCCCTAGTAATGGGGAAAGAAGAGAAGCTCTTTTTTAGGAAGCCCTTTGTTTGGACTCAAAATCAAGGTTTTCTTCTCTGCCTCCCAGATGCTGGGATTAAAGGCATAGACCATCATGTAGACCCTCCTGGGTTCTTCTTCCTATTTGGGAATCCCTAGAGATATGTTTCAAACCACCATCACCATCACAACCCTCCCCAACATACCTTTACCCCACAGTTTGGGACTTCGTGATTTCTAGGACAGGCAAACTTAGAACCCTGTCAGTTAGCAAGCTCTCTATGGCCTGACTCTGCCCATCTCACAATGTACTTTCTTCCTGTATCTCCCTCTCTTTTTGCATGGCACAATAATTATATCCAACTGTTCATACCACACTGCATCATTACTCAAGTGTCCCAGATTTATTCTCTATTATAACATACTCATCCTCATTTGCTGGCTGCTAGACTTCTCCTGGTCAGGACCCTCTGCTAACAGGTTCTTAGCACGTGTAAACAACTCCTCCAGAGCATCCATTATCACTATAATTAATGACTTACTTCCCTACATTACAGGATTGTGGGGACACAATGCTCCCTTCTTGTCCCCCAATTCTTTTGGGATGCTAGTCCTGAGCCTTTAACTCAAGGCCTGAGGCTGTCCCTGAGCTTTTGCGCTGAAGACTAGCTCTACCACTTGAGCAACAGCTCTGCTTCTGGCTTTTTGGTGGCTAATGGGAGATAATTTGGTGGCTAATTGGAGAACTTCATGGACTTTCCTGCCTGGGCTGGCTTCAAACCATGTTCCCCAGATCTCAACCTCCTGAGAAACTAAGTTAGGATTACAGGCCTGAGTCATCAGTGCCCTGCTGCCCCCCATTTTTTTTTTTTGGTTGGTTGTGGTACTTGAACTCGGGCCTGGATGTTGCCCCTAAGCTCTTTTGCTAAGTCTAGCGCTCTACCACTTGGAGCCACAGCTCTACTTATAGTTTTTTGAGTAGTTAATTGAAGATGAGTCCCATGGGGACTTTTCTGCTTAGGTTGGCTTCAAACCATGATCCTCAGATGCATGAGCCACTGGTGCCCACCTCTGCCCCACCATTTTTTTTTTTTTTAAGTCAGTCTGGGCTTGGGCGCTGTCCCTGCACTCTTCAGCTCAAGGTGAGTGGTCTATCACTTGAGCCACAGCTCCACTTCCAGTTTTTTAGTGGTTCATTGGAGATAAGAGTACCACATACTTTCTTGCCCGGCCTGTCTGCCCCATTTTTTAAAAGATACAGTTGAACTACATGGCTCAGGCTTGTCTTGTAATCTTCCTGCCTCAACACCTGAATGCTGGAATTACAGGTGTTCATTTTCTTTCTTTTTGCAATGCTAGGACTTGAACCGAAGGCTTTAAGCAGGCTATATAAGAGGTCTAACACCAAGACACATCTTTGCTCTGATGGTTATTTTTTTAAAATAATGTATTTATCAAGATTAAGTGATTACATAAATTTCACATTGTAGGATAGTGATACTTATAAGTTACAAACACATTTTAACCTTCACAAGGCAAATTGTCTTTATCATGGCCTATGTCTGTGAATTCTATGAGCTTTAAGAATAGAACTATTTCTTCCACATTGGGTGATATGTACATTTCCTTCTTTTTGCTTAGTGTAAGCTGTTCTCGCTTTCCCTTTCATTCCCTACTTCCCATCGCTGCTCTTGAGTTGCTTAGTTCATTTTCATCAATGGCCAGTGCAGCTGACTGCCCTAATGGCCATTAAAACAGTCTGATTCTCACTGTACATGGCAGAGACTAAAGGTCTGATCTGAGAATAGTGTTGAGCACACATTTGGAACTTTTGTTTGGTTAATGTTCTTCAAGAGGGAGTTCATGTTACATAAACACTTACCTTTTTCCTCTGTGGTGGGTTCTGGGGGGCAGATGGAACTCCGTCACAGGCGCGTTCACCACCAGGTGACATGGATCCACGAGAGAGGTCTTTCATAAATCCATGATCATATCTGCTGGAAAACCCTTCTGCAGGGGAACAATATCCCCCGTCCAAATGCAAAGGCTTCCTATCCCCTACTAGGGGAGACCCTCTATATAATCCATCTGCTCGAGGCATAGCATTCAAAGGGGAGTAGGCATACATCAAGTTGAACTCTGTCCGAAATGCCTGGTCCGAGTTTCTCACAAGACTTTGAGGTCCATCTCCACTCCTACTTGGGAAGCCAGTCTCTGAGGTGGGCCCAAGAGAGGGATGAGGAGCCAGGTCAGAATGACTTGAGTTAAGCATGGAAGGTCTGTCAGCACAGCTGTTAGTGTTGGAGTCATGATATCCTACTTTTGTTAAATCCAGGTCTTTTCGGTGACAAAGCTGAAGAAAAAAAAAAAATCAATGGAGACAAGGGGCAGGGGAGAAAGGAAAGTCAGAAGGAAAAAAGGGAAGAGCAAGAGGGGCAAAGGTAAACAAGGAAAGGTAAAAGGGATGGAGGCAGAGGAGAGAAAGTCATTAACATATGTGGAAGTCCCATGCAGCAACAGTGTATATAAGGCCAGCTTACTAAAGAATCCCGGCCGATTTCCCAAAATGCTTTGAAGTCTTTTTGGATGAGAATATTGGGGAGTCAGAATTAGGTGACTATTTTGCCTGCCTGGCCTTTCACCAGGCTACTCAGTCACTTTGTACCTACACTAAGGGGGCTGGTGGCATAATCAGGGATTTACCTGAGCACCATGCATACTATACACAGGGGTCAAAAGATAACTGACTTCTGAAATTATTCATTCTCAGATTAATACTGATGGAAGGTGGGAGAGAAAAAGGGTGGAAAAAAAAACAAAACAGAAAGTAGATGAAAAGGCAAGTACTTAAGTTACTGGTTCAGTAAAGGAAAATGGTATTAAAGACACCAACCAACCAGTTCTTCACTCACTTCCACTGTGAAATAGGTGTGTTTCTCATACAACTTTCTGGCCATTCAATTCTCTTTATTCTCTCATATATACCAACATATCACAAGACCACTAATGCCCATCACTGAAGAGCATATGAAATATTGCAAAACTAGAACTCCACCTACTATTTGGTTAACATTACAAGATAACTTGAGCTTTTTCCATCACTAGGTCAACTGTAGCCAGACTACAAAATTGGTACCAGAAACCCAAATACCACACCATGTCAATCAACTGACGCTTAGAAGAAAATGAGCTGAACTTTCCTAGTAAGATTGGAAAATCTCTAGTAAGCTACTAGAAGGAATAGAACTCACCCCTTAAAAGTTCATGTCACAATGGTTTATAAAATCCTACTGACAGAGAATCTGATTCTCATGGAGTTTAGTCAAATAAATAAATAAAAATATGCATATATATACACACACATATATATTTAAATTAAAAATGATGGGGTTAAAGTTAATTTGAAGCGAGTTAATTTTTGAAGGGTAAGGAGACTAAAACATTCTCTTCAAGAGGAAAAAAATTCCATGTAGATGAAGAGTTAATAATGACTACATTCACCCAAATCACAGGGCTAAAGTGTGAATTTACCATTTCCATAGCAGTAGTTTCAGTTGATGTTCTAAGAGGTATCGCTCATTTTACAACTATAAATAACCAAGTCACGGCAGAACAGAGAAGTATGACAGAAAAGCCATGAACTGGTTTAATTTCCCTGTATGTCAGACCTATGAAGAAGCTGTGAGGCACAATGATTTGCTTTCAAGAAGAAGCTGGTCAATCTATCAACCAAAGTCAAAACGTCTGTTACAGAGGTGTCACATTAACCCTGAAACAAGGCATGAGTCCCTGTCCAACCCTTCCAATGTAAGCTGCCCAATTAATACTAGTAGATAACGCTTACCAAACACTGAACTTTCCTTAATTGTTAAAGACTGTCACACATTAATAGCCTTTAAACTTGACTTCTAGATTCCATTCCTTCTTTCATAAAACTCTCCAGCCACCCCTTCCCCAGTTAACAACAGAACAAGCCCCAGCACATACACACAGCTACTTATCGCTTCTGTCTACGTCCATAATTCCAGTGTTACACAGGAAGATTCGTTCAACTTTCAGTGACTAATTGGCCGCCCTCCAGCCCATTACCCGACTCACTCAGAGTCCCAACCCTCCCACACACTCAGGAACACACTCATGCACACATTCACGCACACTCAGCCTCCAAGTGTGACTGAGATGGTGTGATAACTACCTCGGGTGACAGGGACTCGGGCCTATGCGCAGGGGAACTCTCAGGGGAGGATATGCTCTGGAGGAGGGAAAAGCATCTTGTTATTCATCTACTCCAAGAAAAGAAGCAAAACAAAACAAACCAAAAATAAGAGCAAGCATAGATGTTAGCCACAACTTTTGTTGGTGGGTGGGATTAAGAATGCGTAGGGGAAATGTTTAACTTCAGAACTCATCTCAGGTGGACAGAATGACTTGTTAAAATGCTTCCTGATTATCTTGAAAGCATTTTAGGTTAAACTGGTTATAATATTTCATGCTGTAAGTAAACATTTCAAGCATAAACTAGGGAAAGTTAGATAAAAACTTAAGTGTCATATTTCCTTGTATTTTTAGATAAAAATTTAGCAACCTACAATCTTTACTATTTTTTTTTTTTTTTTGTTGGTCGTGGGACTTGAACTCTGGGCCTGGGTGCTGTCCCTGAGCAGTTCAGCTCAAGGCGAGCATTCTACCACTTGAGCCACAGCACCACTTCCGGCTTTTTCTACTTATGTGGTGCTAAGGAATTGAACCCAGGGCCTCATGCATGCAAGGCAAGCGTACTACCACTAAGCCACCTTCCCAGCCCCACAATCTTTATTATTGACGGCTACTCTGCCCCTTAGTCCTCTTCATAAGAACCCTGTTCCTTCACCTCACATCCCTTCTATTGGTCAGCATGTTTCACTCTCTTACATGCTTCAGCCCATTACTGTTATTCTGGAAGATTACTCAGCATGCTGGGTGACTGTCTTGACAAAGTAGAGGAGATGGTCAGAACCTTCTTGAATCAGTTATAGAAAGTGCGAATGAGAGAATCCATATTCACAAGCTGGATGTGATTTTTGGCACAATGTAATTAGACCTGAGCACTTCTATTATGGTTCTTTTGATTAACATACACTGTACTTTTGGGAACACAGGAGGAAAAAAAAAGGAAGCATGTGTATGTATACTTGAGAGTCCTTCAGGCCTATAGACAGTAGACTTTTAATCTGAGGCAACATTTCCCAAACAAATAGTGACTGGATAGCAAGCTCTTAATGAGGAGATAGGAATGACAACATGTGAACAAAGTGAAAAGGGCTGAGGTAGGGGGAGGATTCCAAATGTGTAGAACATGCAGCTGTTGCCTGGTGGCAGACCATGCTGTGGTAGGATTAATGGGCTGCTTCAGCAAAGCAAGAGAAAGGTGCTTGCTTCATGCTTTGTATATGTCAGACAAAGTTGAGTATGGAACTGAGGGCAGGAAGAAAAGGGAAGAGTTAGGCTGGTGAAAAGGGGAGATTAACTGAATCTGCTTGACTAATGTTGTACCTCCTCTTCTAGAGACTTTCCCCTGCAGGTTTTGCTTTCCTTTGTGTATCTCCTTACCTTAATATTGAAGATGTCTCAATATTATATATATATATATATGTATGTATAATTATTATTATTACTATTATTTTTTTGGATCCTGTCGTGGGGCCTGAACTCTGGGCCTGGGTGCTGTCCCTCAGCTCTTCATCTCAAGGCTAGCGCTCTACCACTTGAGCCACAGCGCCACTTCTGACTTTTTTTCTTTTTGCTTATGTGGTGCTGAAGAATCGAACCCAGGGCCTCGAGCATGCAAGGCAAGTGCTCTACCACTGAGCCACCTTCCCAGCCCCCTCTAAATATTTTTTGATTTAAAAAAAATATTCTTCCCAAAACAAAGCTGGTATTTACTTCTGACATCCTTTAGACATTTCTCTGAGTCATGAATTTGATAGAAAAGAGTCTTGCTATCTACTTTTCTGCACTGAACTATAGGAAAAAGTGTTGCTATTAGAATGGTGATGAGGTGAGGTTGTTTATTAGATGAAAAGGCCACATTTCCTTAAAGCACAAGTTTGCAATAGTGAATAATACATTTCTTCCCCATTTGGCTTCCATTAAAGTGTTTGAACAATGCTTCATTACAATCACAGTTTTTTTCCTTTCTTTTTGAAACCATGCAGAGTAGTTTCACAGTTAATCTGAATGCTATAGCTAACAGGAAATGTGCCGAGTACTAACCTTGCTTGTTTTGGAACAAGATTTAGCTATTAGTTTCAGTAATTTTACAAAAATAAAACTTGTTTTAATTAAACATGTAATTCTATTCTTATAATTTGATTGCTTTCTAGGGAGAATTTAGTCTTATGATTTCTTACTTTATATAAAACTCAAATTGCTGCCAGGTCAGCACCTGGCTCATACCTGTAATTCTAGCTATTCAGGAGGCTGAGAACTGAGGATCATGGTTTGAAGTTAGCCTGGATAGGAAAGTCTCTGAGAGACTCTTATCTTCGATGAACAACGCAAAGAACAGAAGTGGAGCTGTGGCCCAAAGTGGTAGAGCTGAGCCTTGAGCAAAAGAATGTGGGGACAGTGCCCAGGTCCTGAGTTCAAGCCCCATGACTGACAAAAACAAAAAACTACCACATTCTAACTAATAACTGAAAAGTCAAAGATAGAAAGGTCTGAATTAGTTGGTATATATTTGGCTAAAAAGAATACCCACAGGAGACAGGGATGGGAGGAGAAAATGGGGAAAGTGAAGGAAGGGGTGACACTGACCTAAAAGAAATGTACTCATTACCTGACTTATAAGCTGGCAACCTCTCTGTATAACAGCTTTATAATAACAATAAAGTTATTCTTTAAAAAAGAATACCATAAGGAACTTGACAAAAGTTATTTCCCTAGGTAACCAGAAGGTTGTTTTTCCACACAGAGAAGTCTGTCCCAAAATCAAGTTTATATGTCTAGTGATATATACAAGACATATAGCTCTCTCAGTGTTGTTTCTAGTTTCTTCTTTATTACTTAGATAGAAATCAAGGTATTTGGCCGGGTGCCGGTGGCTCACACCTGTAATCCTAGCTACTCAGGAGGCTGAGATCTGAGGATAGCGGTTCAAAGCCAGCCCGGACAGGAGAGACCGTGAGACTCCTATCTCCAATAAACCACTAGAAAACCGGAAGTGGCACTGTAGCTCAAGTGGTAGAGCGCTCGCCTTGAGCTG